ATATATATATATATATATATATAACACAAAGTTGGTAAATAACCGAAAAAATTACCGTACCCAAAAAGGGACGTATAAAAATGTGCTCAATGCAACAGCTTTAGTAAAACAGATATGCAGAACAAGCTATATATTCAAACATATTTCAGTGAATAATATAGACATATTATGTCTATTTATTTTTATAATGATCCCTTCCAGTTCGCTAATCTCTGGCGATGAATGACAAAGACAAACTTATTATAACTGTTATAAAATCAGTATTGTGATAGTGGTTTTTAAAATAAAAAAAAAAAACATCACGTGCGAATGTGCTGTTATAATTATTTTAAAATAATATTGGGGATGATCTTGGAGGAGATCGAAAGTACTTGGGCAAGGAAAAACTACGGTGCCTTCCTTGATGAATTTTATATTAAGACCAAGAAACATGATTAGAAAACTAGAAATGATCATTAAAAAATAAATATACATGTGTTGATTTAGAAATAACAATTGAAAAACATTTTTAGTTTTTGCCGACGCGTTTCGTCTTCTGACTTTCATCAAGGCAAACAATAAAAGCGAAATGTTTAACTATGGCTTCAAAACATTTCGCTTTCATTGTTTGCTTTGATTAAAGTCGGAAGGCGAAACGCAATGGCAAGAACTAAGAACTAATAGAGGTGCTGGCATCCTTAGATGATTTCTTTATAGAGCAGAGAAATAATTTTATCATTTTTAAACCAATTTGTCTTAATTTCAGAATTATTCTAGTAAATTTAACTAAATTGTCGACATGGAAAACAAACTCTTAGTAAAAAGGAAGTTTCCAATACCAATATTCACAAAGAGGCTTTTACATACGATCGTTTCCTTTTTAATTCTGGATTTGATGTAACTATGGCTACAGAACATCAGTTATCCTTTTATTTTGTGTATTTGTTTTGATATGTTAATTTGTTTTGGGGTTCATTCCCTCCTTCCCCTCATTACGTGTCATCCACAGATTTTTGTATATAGAATTTTATAATCGTTAATTTTTATGTCATATTTTTGTAAGTCTCCCGAGAGCATGCGGTATTGTGGTATGTGGAGGACTGAATGGTGATGAAAAGTTCTTTTGATGGATGTGCAAATTGTAATGAGTGAATGTGTCATGAATCTGATTAGCTAGATATAAGATAGTAAGTGATGACCAGCCTCAGCCCTCCAACCTCCCCATTTTTGGCCTTGTGCCACAATTGTATTTTATATAAAATAAATCTTGATTACAAAACATTTCGCTTTCATTACTTGCCTTGATAAAGGTCGGAAGACAAAAACACGTTGGCAAGAACTAAGAATTTTTTTCCAATTGTCATTTTTAAAACAATTTGGCTTATTTTCAAAATTATTATAGGAAATTTAACTACATACGTTTATATTATTCAATGAAACATGTTTGAATAAAGATATGCTGCCTAAATACACACACACACGCATGCGCGCACACACACACACACACGCATATATATATATATATATATATATATATATATATATATATATATATATATACACGCTTATAGGCATATTTGTGCACGTGCGTACATGCTTGTGTGTGTGTGCAATGTGTACCGACTTAATTATCCGTCTATCTGTAGAGTTACACCCCGCCAACCACAAAAAGGTGAAGCTAATTTTTATCCTAACTCGTAGTTTATTCCAAATTCCATCTCACTTTTCATCTCCTGTTCTTGGAACGAAAAGAGTCGTTCATTCTCCAGGCAAACAAGCAAACACTGATTACCCCGGAGTTTCGCTTTTGTTCGCTGGAAAGTCTACAAAAATTTGCCAAGAAACAAGAAGTTAGCATTCACTTCCGACTTTAACGACATGGAAGAAATACGAAGAAGAATTCAGATGTTCATTGGTGTCGGTTGGATGTCTCTTCACCGGAAAATGACCGATAGGAATTTCTCTCCCGAACGATATTTTCTTTCTGTATAGCCAAATAAATTTCCTTCCTCTTCCTACACGTCTTTGGACCTTTCACCAGACTTTCTTTATTTGCCATTCTCTCATTATTTATTTATTTTTTTTCAGCATCGTTAGTTTCTTATTCTTTCAGTTTATTTTATCTTTCTCTTTTCCCTCTTACTTCATCTCGTTCCCCCTTTCTTTTTTTTCTTTATTTAACGTTTTCATCATTTTTTGTTTTCTTTCCTTCCTTTTCTTTCCATAATTTTCTTTCCGTAATTTTCTTTTCTTTCTTCCTTTCATTCCTTATATTATGTTTTTCTTTATTTTTAGTCTTTTTTTCTGTGATATTTAAAATCTCTTTTTTTCTTCTCTCTAGTTGCTTTTCTATTTTTCCATGCTGCCACTTTCTTTCTTTCTTTCTTTCTTTCTTTCTTTCTTTCTTTCTTTCTTTCTTTCTTTCTTTCTTCCCCCACCCTACTTCGCATAACTCCTTTTGGTCAACCTTTGACACTCTTTCTTTCTCTAGTTTTTTTCCTCTCTCCTTGCTTCTGTTGACCTTTGACCAGCGACACAACAGTGGGCGGGTTCATAAAATCCTGCGTTCTGCCAAATTCTTCAGTTTCATTGTTTCTGTCAACAACCTTTCCCGCCCTATTATCCCGAAGTTGCTTCAAACGAGAAGCCCTTTCTTCCCACTCCTTTACTTTTTCATTTTCTTTCTTCTCTTCTCTTCTTTTTTTTTTTTTTTTTTTTGCTCAGGTTGTTTTTATTTTTTTATAATGCTTGCATTTCTAGGTTTTCCCGCGGCCAAAGCAAACGTGTTAAAGGTCAGATGGTCACGTGGTTTGCTGGCCCGGATGTTACACTGCTTATTTACTCTTTTGGTGTTCACAAATTCGCTTTCTCCAGTAATTTGGAATTCACTTATTTACGAGAAGGATTCTCTACCCCTCTCCATTTTTTGTGTTGGTACACACACACACACACACACGCACACACACACACACACATATGGAAGTTTTTTGGTAACTACGTGCCTATGTGTAAGCCTATATATAGAAGTGAATAAACGTGAACATATATATGGTTATTTGCATATGTACGGAAGAGGTAAAGAAAGCGAGGGTGATGTGCGGGTGGTGTAATAGAAAGCAGCTTGGAATGAGAAACCGGAGCCGAGTTCAAATTCCGTTTGAGTTGGTGACATTCACTTAGGCGCAAATACCACAGGGGAAGGTATGAATCCATCACTTCGTCTACCCCAGCTATGGGATAAATAGTACGGGACACTGGGCTCATTAACATTGGTTGCCAACCAGTATAGGAGAAAGACAACTCTGAAGTCAAACCCCGATGGATATCGTTTGCACGCTATGAGCACCAGTTCCCTGTATTCAGAACTTCTGAAAAGTGTAGTTGGACATGCCTTCACCACTATAATCAAATCATATGTGCAGCTAGTCCTGCTGTCCTTTTCTAAGAACGGTACTGTTGGGGATCTCATGCAGGGTGTATCAAAAATAATTTTACAAACTCAGGACGCGGGTTTCCTCACGCTAAAACAAGGACAAAAAATCCATATAAAGATATTTCCTCAAATTGTTCGTATTCTTCTTCGTTTTTAATTTATAAGTTTAAAGAAAGTTTACAGTGCTGTGTTGCTACGTAGACGAGGTTATATTTGTTATTCGTGTATATTTGTGGCTAGTCTGTTTTCAACGTTTAACGTGTGTAGTAGTGAGTTAACTGAGAAGTGTTCCGTTTAACAGTGGCAGAATATTCATATTGTGAGCAGGCGGATATGATTTTTACATACGGTCGCGTGAATGGTAATGGACTCGACGCTTCACGGCTGTATCAGAGTCATCCAAGCTTTGTTGCTGTTTATCGTCACATTGCTGAGATAGAGACCGTAGCAACACAAACTGTGGATCGAGATCCGCTCGTACGTCTGACCACGAAAAACACATTCTACAGGCTGTATCAGCACACGTCAAATTGCCCCATTATGTCGTACATCTAACAGTACCGCATTTATATATGGTGTCTCAAAAAATGTATAAATATGTTTACAGATAATTCAACTTGCTTTCTTTTCAGATGTATACGTTAGTATTACTAAATTCATCCCGGGTTAGCTATGATCAAAGAAATTTCATTTTGAAATGCGATTGGAAGTAGAAAAATGTAGTTGAAGTTCAAAGATGGTATCGAAGAGCGTTTCATTCAGATCCACCCACACAGCTTACAACCTCACGAATTAGAGATAAGTTTGAGGCTGAGGATACTATACACAGTGTGCGTAAGAAATATTCCGGAAACCCACGGGCATCAAACACACCCTGTGAAGCAAGAATGGTTGATGGAAAGTTTTCAGAAAAAGTCAAAGAAATTTACGTTGATTGCTGTTTGGGATTCTACTGCGTCACGTTGTTAGCAATGTCTGGATCTTAACGGACACCAATTTAAAAACATGCGATGACAAAATCTTAAGGGCATGCATTTATAATAAATACTAAAGTCTTTCTATGTATTATTTAAATTAGATATAGATGGTTCATTTTAGGACATTCAGTAATATATATATATATATATATATATATATATATATATATATATATATATATATATATATATATATATATATATATAATTATTTATTCGATAATTATAACATAAATATGTTATAAAATCACTACAAAATAACCATTTTGTTTCAACGCTTCTGGTGTCTTATCAAGTAATGATATTGAATGTGTTCTACATTCAACGCCATCACTTGATAAGATACCAAAAGTGTTGAAACAAAATGCCTATTCTTGTAGTGATTTTATAACATATTTATGTTATAATTTTCGAATAAATAATTATATTTGCTCTACTCTGTATTGAGCACTCTTTCAAGAACAGTATTTTTTTGGTTATTGGAATTTATTCCGTATACACCAATAATATACTTGTATATATATATATATATATATATATATATATATATATATTTAAAAAATCTGTATTCAATGCGAAACAGAAATTAAAAAAGAGATCATGTAATACGTTTAAAGAGACAGACACATAGATAGATGTGAACAAACTAAGATAGATAGATAGATAGATAGATAGATAGATACCACTGTTTTTTAAATATAGGCACATATGTAGCTCTGGACAATTTTAAGAGTTGCAAGCTCTTCACATTTGAAAATTAGTCATTTCCCACTCTCATATGTATCTATATCAGTTTAATCTATGTTTGTATATAACAGCATAAACATGAATCGATATGCAATTGTATATATATATATATATATATATATATATATATATATATATATATATATATATATATATATTGGGTGTGCATTTTTGTTCACGTTCAGCTTTCATTACCAGACGATAAAACACTCCCTTATCGTTACACAACAAAGAACGGGAACTCCGGACGTTCTCAGATTTAAAAAGAATATTTCATTTGAATAAAAGAATATTTATTTCTTATTTTCGAAAATCAACAAGTTTCTACTTTCTTTATATCTCCGTTTTTGTTTTTGACCGGCCCTATCGCCTTGAACTTTCCCTGCAAAAAGTTAAGAGTAGAACCTAAAAACCAATAGTTCTTAACAAAGGCTGTTTTCTTTGTAAAAATTACTTCCAGCTGTCTGACAATTACAAGACAAATGATACAATTGTTTCTCAAAGGCTCTGTTGCAGTTGAAAAAAAAAAAAAATCTGCCGGTTGAAGTTTCAACAGTATAAAATGTAGATATGTAGTAATCTTAGCCAATGATGGTTTATTTTTTGCTTGTGTTTCAACTTAATTTTCAGTGCTTTTTATCGTAACTGCCAGATCACCATTTCATGGAAATAACCGGTAAGGTATCTACCCTGGGAAAGCACACATTCTGTGATAAGGGGTACGTATCTCGCCGGCAGTTCATTCATTATTTTAGCTCCAACGATCTTGGTATGACGATCTATAAATTGCGGTTAAACAAACACAAAGAAAGAGATAGGGAGACAGACAGAGACAGAGAGAGACAGAGAGAGACACACAGAGAGAGACACAGTGAGAAAGAAATCAAAATGATTTACCAATGAAATCAGACAACTTAAGATTACTACTACCCTCTATTGCATTCTGGAACTGACTCCCCAGAGGATGCTTCAATGATCACTACAATCCAAACCGCTTCATGTCAAAGGTCAATAATTCTATCCTGTATATCTTCATAATATGCACCCCTTACTCCCTCCCTCTACTGCCTTATAACAGCTTCATTCAGTAACCCTCTACCTTGAGTTGCTCTTAGGCCTTGCATTGAGCAAATTAAAGAGAGAGAAGAGAGTGGGTGAAAGAGTGAGAAAGAGACTGAGAGAGGAGTTAAAAACAAATGAAAATGATTCACCGAATAAATCAAACAACTTAAGAATACATTTATCAACTAGTGCATTCTGGAAGTGACTCCCCAGGGGATGCTTCAATGATTACTACAATGTAAACCGCTTCACATCGAAGGTCAACTGACCTACCTTCATAATATGCGTCGAAAGTCTGTCTTAAATATCATAATATGTGCCACATTTTTCGCACTCTCTATTTTTCTAGTTGAATTGTTAAACCTATATTGCATATGATTTATTATTGTACATGATTAGGTTACAATAAAATTTGTATTTTTTATATGAATACTATCTTATGAAAATAGAGTAGAAGGGTCCAGTATTATAGATTCGGTGGCGGGGGGAACGAGACCCTTGCACCAACCCTCTCTCTATATATATATATATATATATATATATCGTCATCCACTGACATACTGTTTCGCTGTATCACAGCTCTTCAGTGTGGCTAGATGTCCGATTGCTTCAAGATGGGATTGAAACCCGAAATATATATATATATATATATAAGTCGGACAATTATTTTTCAAGACATTTTTTTTTATGTTTATACCTTCTTATTTTATAGATAAAAATATTTAAGTAAGTGCTCTGTTTATAATAAACAGTATTAACAACATTTACCGGCCTGAATGTTCGGAGGAAGCATATTTTCTATGAAAATTTCTCGGACATTCAGGCCGATAAATGTTGTTAATACTGTTTATTATAAACAGAGCATTTATTTAATTATTTTTTCTATAATAAAGAACGTATAAACATATATATATATATATATATATATATATGTGTGTGTGTGTGTGTGTGTGTGTGTGTGTGTGTCTGTGTGTGTGTGTGTGTGTGTGTGTGAAGAAATACAGTCTTAAGATGTGCTATATTTATGGGATAAAGTGCTCAATATCAGCGATAGAGCGTGTGTAAATATAAAAGTGAACATAGAAGTCAACACTTAGAGGCGACAGTCTGTTTCATGCTAGATGCAATCGTCAGGCCACGATTGCATCTAGCATTAAACAGACTGACGATTGCATCTAGCATGAAACAGACTGTCGCCTCTAAGTGTTGACTTCTATGTTCACTTTTTTATATATATATATATATATATATATATATATATATATATATATATATATATGAATGAAAGGATTATCTATTCAGCATTGTTTTCTATTACTATAAGTGCTTTTCTTTAGTAGGACTTCTCAATTTATGCCGTTTATTATTAATTTCATTGGTTATAAAAAAACAGTCTTAACAACTCAAACACGTCTACACAAAAAATAACAGATACGGAACTGAAACTAACAGATATAGATTCACAGAAGGCCAAATAAGAAAAAACATGTCTTCTTTAATAGATTAATCAGACGGTACACTGTCATTCTGGCTTCTTGGCCGAACAAACAGAGGCAGGCTTCGGCTGAAGACGTTGTTTCTCGGAAGAAAAAAAAGGATTTAAGTTCGATTTTTTTATGAAACTAAAGCCAATGCTAACAACGAAAATTAACTCACCTTGACAATGGCTAATGTCGTATCTAAAAACCCTCGGGACAATAATCATAACAGACACTCTCTACACGGTTATTGTCCTCACGAAAGAAAATTGTAAGAACACTAGAAAAATTGATGAAGTACTTACAAAATATTCCTTGTCCGTCTCATTGAAACACACACACACACACACACACACACACACACACATCTATTTCTTAACTTTCTCCTTCTTATGAATCTGGGTAATTTTGAATATACTTCTCATGCTTTTCTTTTTTTCTCTTGGTAGCAGGATTAAATTCCTATGTTTTCCTTTTATGTTCTTTTCTCTGTTTCTTTCCTCTTTCCATTTTTTTTTTTTTAATGATTTCTTATCTTCTTTCCTTTTTCTTTATATAAATCCTTTTTATCTTTTATGGGAAATTTTCCAAAAAAGTAAAGTGAAGTAGTGTTTCATTAATTGCAATTTTGAATAAAGTCGTTTAGTACCGTCATTGTTAGCCACCTGAAGAAACGTTTGAATTTAACGTTGAAACAAAATGGACAATTTCGTAGTGGGTATTTACATGTTCTAATGTAACAGTGTAAATATACATATGATTCATATATATATATGAAAATAGTATTGAAGCATGAAAGAATCATCATAAAATCATCATGTCATTTCTATGTCCACAATGTCTCTCTCTATATAAACGGTCTACTTTTTTGAGCAAATTTTTAAATATATATATATATATATATATATATATATATATATATAAGAAGAAGAGCAATTAATCTGATACTTACGAAATTTGGACAAATTGATTATTACAGAAAATTAGAGCATCTCATCGATGATCGATCTAAATATATAAAATTAAGTAAAAACAAACTGACACTCTAAAAATCTGTCAACAAGTTCATAACATCCAACAATGCCGATGTAGAATCCTTGAAGATCAATAAAATTATTGGAGATTAACAACCAAGATACCGATTCGGAAATGCCAAAATACACCAATCTCGGTAATATAGAGGAAAGTTCATCAGAGAAATTATCATAAAAATATTTATAAAAAAGGAACTGGGAAGCTATGTTACGCTGGGGGTGGGAAATTGACTTAGACACAATTTACAATAGAACAAGCAAAATTCTTGAAAATGACAAATAGATTAGTCTGGGGCGCTTGGAAATTTGAAAATTTCTTCCACACACTAAGTTCAAGAAAAGATATCTCTTGTTAACAACATGAAAAATACAATAAAAAAATTAACAAGTGCTTTGCCAAACATTTTAACAAAACATGTATTAGAGATGGATATTAAACTATGCATGTATGCATATATATGCAGCCGAACTCCAAATTTCACATGTTTTATTATTTTACCAGATTTTGTAAAATAATCTGGTACGAATATTTTTCAGTACCCCACATGTATATCAATCTATCAAGCGATCAAGGCTGACTTCAGAAGAACCTACTATTTAACTCGTATATATACATACAGAAATCTATATTGGTAGAGGTACACTTTGGTACAAAAAGGGGTTACCCTGATGGAAAAAATGGATGTAGGTTCGATTTCTGGCAGAGGCACAATTTTTATTTTGTAAGCGTTCTCAGTTTAAGTCAGTTGTTATTAATTCCGCTGTTTAATAAAATAAAATAAAATAAACCTCAACTCAAACATGTGTAGCCACTAGAATTAACGTTCAATAAGAAATAATGTCGGATTCAAATACCATTCAATATATATATATATATATATATATATATATAGAGAGAGAGAGAGAGATAAAGAGAGAGAGATAGATAAAGAACTCTATATGAACACATCTTCCAACCACCTATAAACCACTCTATATACACGCATCTTCCAACCACCCGCTTTCTATAATCAAACAGATTTTTCCGACAATTCCTCCAATGAATCCATATTTAACAAAGCTAAGAAAGACTACGAAACAGCCCTAAATGGTAGTGGATTCCCAGCAACAATCACATACTCACCACAGAACACAAAAAAGGCCAAAAGGAAAAGAAATATCATATGGTTCAACCCACCGTACATCAAAAACGTAAAAACAAACGTAGGAAAAATATTCTTCAAACGCTTACACAAACAGTTCCCGAAATCAAGCACCCTACACAAAATATTCAACAAGAATACAGTAAAAATCAGCTACAGTTGCACCGAGTACATGCCACAAATAATAAAAAAGCATAACAGGAAAACTATCAAAACATCACA